ATGGCTGGAAGAAATAAATAAAATTGACTTGCCGCTAAGGCACCGCTGAAGAATCTGGGTCATCACCAAAGTGTTGCTGCAACAAGGTTTTGACTCATCGTCGAGGTGTCGCTGAAAAAAAATTTGCTTGCCGCCGAGGTGTTGCTGAAAGAGAAATTTGGTTTTCTATTGAGGTATTGCATCAAGGAAAATTTACAGCATCGCCAAGATATTGCTGAAGTAAATACAAATCACCACACGGAGGCATAGACATGCAAGTTTTGTCTGTCACATCCTTACAGCATCTGCAACAGAGCTCTATCTTCAAGACAGATATGCACAAGCACACTTGCGTAACTCGGTAACTTCATGTCAAGTGGCTACTAGTGTCTGGTGGATAAGTAAACTTCTACACTGAGTCAGATCTTTTGGTGGAGCTTTGGCTTGAAATCATCATCGAAACTGATAATGGCTAATGATGCTGGTGGTATGACCTCTCGAAGTATAGTCTCGCTCTATCAATGGCTGCTAGATGATCCATGGCGGATGAAGACGTTCTAGCGATCGCTAATAATGCTGGTGGTATGACCTCTCAGAGTATGGTCTCACTCTATCAATGGTTGCTGGATGATCCATGGCTGATGAAGACGTTCTGGCGATAACTAACAACGCTGGTGGTATGACCTCTCGGAGTATGGTCTCGCTCTATCAATGGCTGCTGGATAATCCATGGCTGATGAAGACGTTCTGGCGATGGCTAACAATGCAAGTGGTATGACCTCTTGGAGCTTGTTCTTACTCTCTGAATGGTTGATGTCTGATCTGTGGCTAATGAAAAATATATCTGTTGTTACTCTCTGGATTGATTCATGGCTATTGACGACACTGTCTGTGCTGGTCGCATGACCTCTCGGAGTATGGTCTCGTTCTATCAATGGCTGCTGGATGATCCATGGCGGATGAAGACGTTTTGGAGATGGCTAACAATGCTGGTGGTATGACCTTTCGGAGTACGGTCTCGCTCTATCAATGGCTGTTGGATAATCCATGGCTGATGAAGACGTTCTGGCGATAGCTAACAATGCTGATGGTATGACCTCCTGGAGTTTGTTCTTAATCTCTGAATAGTTGTTGTTTGATATGTGGCTAATGAAACTGCATCTGTCGTTACTCTCTGGATTGATTCTTGGCTGCTGACGACACTGCCTGTGCTGGTGGCATGACCTCTCGGAGTCTATTTTCGCTCTATCAATGGCTACTAGAGGATTTATGGCTGACGAAGATGCTCTAGCAGCGGGTGTTGACAACGTTGTCTGAGCTAGTGGTAAAACCTCTCTCCATCTACATCTAGCTCGTTGCTCTCCGAGTTGATCCGTGGCTGCTGACGACACTGCCTGTGCTAGTGGCATGACCTCTCGGAGTTTATTTTTGCTCTATTAATGGCTGTTGGATGATCCATGGCTGATGAAGACGCTCTGACAACGGGTGTTGGTAACATTGTCTGAGCTGTTGGTAAAGCCTCCTTGCGTCTACATATCTCGTTGCTCTCCGAGTCGATTCATGGTTGCTGACGACACAGTCTGTGCAGGTGGCATGACCTCTCAGAGTCTATTCTCGCTCCAAAGCGGTGATAGTATGGGGTTTGAAACTTTTAAAAAACACCATATTTGACTAGCACCACTAAAAAAAAAAAAAAAAATGTTGCGTGAAAAAGAGAGAGAAAAAAAAAAAAAAAAAAGGAAAGAAAAAAAAAATTGCGTGGAAAAAAAAAGGAAAGAAAAGAAATTGCATGGAAAAAAAAAAAGGGAAAGAAAAAAAGATAGAGAAAAAAAAAGTCGTGAAAAAAAAGAGGGAAAAAAAAAAAAAAAAAAAAGGAGAAAAAAAAAAGTTGTGAAAAAAAAGAGAGGAAAAAAAAAAGGAAAGAAAAAGAACAAAAAAAAAAAACGGAAACGATGAAAAAAAAAAAAAGGAAAGAAAACAGAACGGAAAAAAAAAAAAGGAAAAAAAAAAAACTACGAAAAAAAAGAGAAAAAAAAAAAGAGATGAAAAAAAAAAAAGAAAAAAAGAAAAAAAAAAAAAAACGATGAAAAGGAAAGAAAAAAAAAAAACAATGAAAAAAAAAGAGTGAACAAAAGTGTGTTAAAAAAAAAAAGAGTGGAAAAAATGTGTTGAAAAAAAAAGGTTAAAGAAAAAAGAGTGAAAAAAAAAAAAAAAAAAAGAATGTTAAAAAAATAAGCGTGAAAAAAAGTGTTAAAAAAAAAAGAAAAAAAAAAAGGAAAGAAGGCACAACAATTGAGGTCATTGATTGACTTTGGATGGCTTTGAGGTCATTGATGGACTTTGCATGGTTTTATAACTTTGTATGTATGGATGGCTTTATAGGTCAGGTCATGCTTGCATGTGGTGGACACACGAACCCAAAGATTAGGCATCGTTGTATTGACAGAGCAAATACGAGACGAAAAAAAAAAAAAAAATCTTAAGCTTTGGAATAGAAGAGAAAAAAAATCGTACCATAATAGTACCCGATCAACATTGTCTCATGGCAGTAGAAGAATGGCTTCCAAGATTGGCTTCTGAATTGATGTCAAACCCAATGCCACGAGTTGAATATATAGCCAATAAAAAATTTCTATTTGCAGTAGGATTGGCAGGTTCGTAAGTAGGAAAAGAAAAAAAAAAGGAAATTATGATTTGATTGGACAAGAAAAACCAAGACTATCATAATTTGAAAAGGAAATTAAAGTTGTCTAATAAATTGGATACTTCAAGTCCCACTTGAAGAAGGAGACAAGTCCTGTCAAAATTGGACTCGAAGTGGGGGCAATTTGTAGACACTAAAATTTTAGTGGGCTTCGATTTTGACAAATGGACCCGTTAAATATGAGCCTAATGTTTAATTAAGTTATTTAATTGGCCCAAGTTTGGTCCACTTAAATTATTTAATTAGCCCAGCCCAGATGGTTAAATATAAAGGTAATTATTCCTAATAAAATATATTTGGAATAATTATTATAATATAACCGGCCAGGCTCAGTTATTATTTTATCCTTATCGGGAGATGACACATGTCATCATCCTATGGATCCAAGAAGCCTATAAATAGAGGCCTGGAGGAAGAAGACAGGGGGACAGAAATCTAGTGAGTCCAGAAATCTAGAGACTCAGAAGTCCAGAAGGTCCAGAAATTGAGAGAATCAGAAATCCAGAGGGCCAGAAATCCCGAGGGCAAACCTGAAAGCGAAGAACACCAAGCAGATCCAAAGTTGTGCCGTTCTTCACCAAATTCAACAAATTATCTCCTCTCTGAAGATGAAGAACAACAAGCACATCCAAAGACGTGCCGCTCTTCCTCAAATTCAACAAAGGACACAAATTCAAAATTCAGAAGTTCAGAAATTTAGATACAAATTCAGAATTCAAAAGTCCAGAAACAAAGGATACAAATTCAGAATTCAGAAGTCCAGAAATCTAGAGACTCAGAAATCTAAAGACTCAGAAGTTAGAAATACAAATTCAGAATCCAAACTCAAAGCGAGGAACATCAAGCACATCCGACAACGTGCCGTTCTTCATCAAATCCCACGGTGATCAACAACAAGCACATCCAACGACGTGCTGTTCTTCATCAAATTCCATAATGATTTAAGAATAAGCTCGTGCCCTTGGATCCAACCAACAACAAAAAGGAGATCGAATTAGAGGACCATTCTTTTTGTAAAAGATATCACAAAGGATTGTACTCCAAATATTTCTGATTTAATAAATTATTATTTTGCCCATATTTTGTTTCTATTTGCAAACTTACAAAATTTGTGTGTACACTGTGATCACCATTGACAGAGGAGGGAAGATTCTGGCATTTATGATAGAGGGGTTTCAAAATTTCTTTGCATGAAGAAATTGATCCTTCAATGGTTTCTAAGGCTGCTTCCCTCTTTCATATAGATGTTTTTAAATCGATGAGGGAGGAGAAGGGTCTAAAACACAAAGATCGTCATCTTGGGGCCGGATAAGAGGCTCAGGTGAAGGGGGTGGTCGAAGGACAGGGACAATCATACTCTCACGTGCGTGAAAAATAAGTAGACAACCTCCTGATTGGATCGCCACGTGTCCACCATCCAGATTCTTCCCATTGTAGGTGGGAAGTGATGGGTGATTCTAAGGTAGGCTCTCAGTCTTATTTTGGGCCTCCTTCTTCAAATAGTTTAAAAGGCCTAATGCCTTCTAAATATGGTTTGTGAGCATACGAAAAATGCCTGGGCCGGGAACGATCCAAATTGTTGAGACCAGGTCAAGCAAGAACAACCGCCCCGAATCAAGTCTTCACTAATCAGGCCTAGGACTGGGAAATCAAATTAGAAGTCTAACCTAAGAGAGAAGAAATTAGGCCCATGACTAAGAATAGCCCAGGTGATCAACCCAATGCAAGGAGTTAGTTAAGAAGTTTCTAGAAGATCTGTAACAGTCTATAAATAGACTGAAAATACACTACAAGAAAAATGACTTTTTACCACGGTGGAAAAGGCTTTCTACCACAGTTTTGAACTATGGTAGAAACAGCCATGGTAGAAAGTCTATTTTCAACCACGGTTCCTCACCATGGTAGAAAGTGGTTCTTTCTACCACAGTGCAGAACCGTGGTAAAAAGTGTTATATAATTTTTTAAAAAAAATAGTGTAAAGCCCCCATGAGGCCTTTTTTTTTTACCCTAGCAAACCCTATAAATAAAAAATAAAATCATAACCAAAATAACTTGGCCAATAACTTCATATGTATATAACCAATTCCAAATCATGGTTTTATACAAAAATATATACAAATTTCAAAGAAGTACATTATCCACATCTTATATCTTTACTTAACCAAAATGAAACAAAAATTCTTCATATCTTCTTTCTTTGTTTTAGTCTCTCTCTTCCATATATGCAACTTCTTGATCATAAACCATACAAAAAATATAACGGCAACAAAAAAAGTAACGGGAACCACAATCCCGCAATCTTAGCTTTGACCTACAAAATGTAATAGTTGTAGTAAGAGAATGTAAAGCAAGTTGTAAAGTTGCCAAAATTAAACCAAACAAAGTAAGCATTATACACGGATGAGAGAGGGAATTTCTCTATGGCCATCTCAAAAAGGCATGGATGGTGGTGGTAAAAAAAAAAAAAAGAAGAAACAGAAGAATGTTTACACAATAGAGACTTCAAACCATTTGCTTAATTACACATGGATGGGGCCTGAAAGATGCATTTTTGATAGGGTTGGGAGGCTGAGAATAATCCTATCTCTTTTTTTATGTACAAGTCTCTGACTTTTTTGAACCATCCTTGCCTTGATGCATTGGACTAAGCATATTGGTAATTCTAGTAATTTAGTATAAAATCTTCAATTTGGGACCATATTAGCTATCTCTCATATCTCTTATCAGTTAACATTTAAAGAAATCCAAGAAAAGTTGGGATCATTAATTTCATTCAAAATCTTTGTTGAAGAATAATAAAATCTAGAATTAAAGACAGCTGATACTTGGATTCCAAGTGACCACTCAACCATTAAGATTTTGACTAGGATTCATGAGACTATTTTCAAGAGAAAGAAATCTTTTTTCAGGAAAATATTGTCAATTGACTAAAAATTAGCCTAGATTTGGTGACAAGTTCCTACATTTGGTGACAAGTTCTAGAATTAAGTTTTTGTACTACATTTGGTTACAAGTTCCTAATTTGCCACTTGTTCTAGATGAAGGGAAGCTTCAGTTCTTGGTTATAGTTTGTTCATTTAACTCATAATCTCATGCTCCTAATATTTTGTTATTAAGTAATAAGGAATAAATAAATCTCTTGAAAATACAAATTCTTACCCTTAAGGACAATCCTAGATACAGACGTGCTATATAGCATGCTAATGCAATAATTCATATCTAGAACTACATTTAAACATATAAGTATGTCAATAGATTCAAAAAGGTAAGATATCGTGCTCCATCAGGACCACCACCGATAGATTATTTTCAGATTTAATGATTTTATATGGAAACAGGTGAGGAGTGAAAAATGCCTCATGACAATTTTATATGTTGGAAAAAATAGCATATATATATGTAAGAACTATGCTAAAAGTTAATACCATAATTTCTATTCATTGTGCTCAGTCAACAACCGAATCTAGCATCAACGAACAGCTAGAGGATCTCCTAGAATAGCATGATAAGAATTATACATGAAATGAGAAAGAAAAACAAGCAAAATTGAGTGATATATACATCTTTGTTTCTTGTTGCAAAAATGATGCAATTGCACGAAGTCCACTTAGATACTTAAAATATATTTTGCACATGAAGTACATATATTATTTATAGATATTGCTTGTAAATTTTTAGTAGGTCTCAACTTGCTAGATTTAAGTGACAATCATAAAAAAAAGAAAAGAAAAAAGAAAAAAAAAAAAGAAAAAGAAAAGAAAAGAGGAACAACCAAGGAATTACCTTTGATAAATGGCATCTTTGTTTCTTGGTGAGAAGATACACACTATCGTAAAAGAAATAAGACAATATGAAAAAAGGCAGAAAAGCAGTTAGATTTTAGATTAACAAACAGTAAAAACCATTTATGTGAAAATAGAATGCAAAAGTATCATGATAATCTGAAATTATAGGACATGTTCCTGTAAGATTATACAATATGCTTTTATCTTAATGCACAGTTTAGATCTCTATTACTCCCGAACAAAACACAAACTTGAGCATTTACAATATTTAATGGTAAACAAATATGGGATTCAGAATAGAAAAGGAATGGAAACAATTATAGAAATTTTCTCAAAGCAGCATAATTAAGCTACTAAAATCCCTACTAATTAGATGACAAGTTGAAGATGATGATATGAAATGCCTATAGTCTAGATCCTTTTTTCTTCCTTTCCCCTCAGTTTTTCTCTTCTTCCTAGAGATCATGAGCAACAACAATGTCCTCTTCCTTTCCCTCACAACCTACAACCAAATAGAATTGATGAATCTAAGCAAATTGTTTTTTCTTCATAAAAAATCCTCTTCATTTCATTACAAACAATGATTTATACCAAACACTCACCGGTAACTCATAATTGCTCCTTTGTCTCTTCAAATTTGGGCCGGCGAAGCTTACCCTACAACGCAATTTGGCCGAAAGCTCCAACATAACTTGTAATTGCTCCTTTGTCTATTTGAATTTGGGTCGGCGAAGCTTACCCTACAACGAGGTTTGGCCGAAATCTCCAAGATCAAACAAAAGCAACCACGAAGAGAAGTGCGAATCAGAGGCAAAAACCCTCTGCGAAATGCAATATAACCAAAACTATAAAATCCCTAAATCAAAAGACGAATCAACCAATGACCAGATCTAAACCCATGGGTAGAATGGAACCTTCTGATGCGCTAAATGGAGAGGTACGTCGCTGAAAATCGTGGTTTTACCGTTGAATTCGGTGTTTCAATCAGTTGCTAATTCGATGACGGCTAAAATTGTATGCTATGCCTAGGGTGTAAAGATGAAAGATCATGGGCAAAGGTTGAGCTGAGGCGGAACAACATATGGACCTGATATGAGGAATGTTTGTAGTCAAGAGAGAGATTAGGGTTTGAGCACGTAGTCAAAATATATATATATATTCATTGCAGAGATTTAAGTAGTGCAGAGAGAGGGGCTTGAGGGTTGAGAGATAGTGGGCCAACGGCTGAAGATTGCGAACGGCGAACTCGAACTGGAACAGTGGGCGATGGAAACTGAAGGATATGGGTGTTGATTTTTTGAACAATCTGAAATGATATGCCGATATGGGTTTTGATATAGGTAATAGGTTTTGAAATTTTGATTCTTGTATACAGATAGATAAACTGAAATATATGGGTTTGATTCTTGTAGATTTTGTAGTTTGCAGTTGCAGGGACATAGAGAGGGCAAGTTCAGAGTTGAGAACGAGAATAGAGACGGAGGCGATTGGGGAGGCCGAGGCTGAAATGATTTGCCTTAAAATTGAAAGGCTGAATTTTTTTTTTCAAGAAGCTAGCCGGAATAAGACCCGCTCATAGAATTTCACTTTCTACCACGATTATAAAATAACCGTGATAAAAGAATATACTTTCTACCATGATTATTCATTAACCGTGATATAAAAGGTCTTCTACTATGGTTTTAAAATAACCGTGGCAAAAAAATATACTTTCTACCACAGTTATTTTAAAACCATGGTAGAAAGGGTCTTCTACCAAGGTATTTTTAAAACCGTGGTAAAAAAAGCGTAGTAAAAAACTATTTTTCTTATAGTGATAAAAGGAAAAAGGGTTGGAAATTATTTGAAGTGTAGAATAATTCTTTCTAAATTGAGAGCATTTTTCTTGCATCTTCAATGGCGCCATCTGTGGGAACGATGAAGATTGATTCGATCACGACTGATTCATAAAGGAGAAGCTTGATCTCTAAAAGGTGAATTCAGATCAGCGAGATTGTAGTCTGTCTTGTCGAGTGTTGGTTCTAATTGATCTTTGGAGATTAGAATATAATTTGAAGAATCTTGATCTGTTTACCTAGATTAGATCTGGAGAGTTCACGGCAAGAATTGAATCAATATATTGCGGATTAGATCTGGTGGAAAGAGATCAAAATTTCGCTGGTTTGAGGCCAGATCTAGTGAGGTCGCATTAGCAGAGGTCAGATCTGATCAGGAATTCACAGTTGATGACTCTGCTCCGATCAGGCATGATGATCAGAGGTGAGAGTTCTAATCCATAGGAAAATGGCCAGCAAATAAAGTTTGATGAGTTGATGAGCATGATCGAAGCCTTGCAAAGAGAGAATGCAGAGTTACGCGCCGGAATGGAACGTCAGGAGGTTCCGGCGATTCCACGACCAGTTCTAGTAGGAAATCGAGGTATGCAACCTGATGTTGCTCACCAAGGCGAACAGGAAGGTAATGATCGTGTGGATCTTCATTGCGAAGAGATCAGGTCAGGCGATTTACCGCCAAATGCTCATCACGTGGACGATGGGGAAGGATCTATTCATTTGGATCCGCATTGTGAATGGATCAGGGGAGAAAAGGCCATGGCATTTAATCTGAATCAAGAAAGGCTGAGGCGAGAGGAAGCTATGGAGAACGGTCGTAACAAGGTTATGCCATCATGGCAAAAGGAGTTAACAAAGGAACGATCCTATGATCCTCCTTATCGTCCATCAATGTTCACATACGAGTATGGCGGTTTGGACAGGGGGTCTGTTGAGCTGAGGACATTTTCAAAGTTTCCAAGGGAGAATGAAGCCCTCCGTTCATCAGAAAGAACGGTTGCTTCACCATTTACTGACGCAATCTTGAACACTATGAATCCGAGGAAGTTTTCCATACGATCGATCATATTTACCACATTCAGTTTGAAATGACTTTGAACATGAAGAATAATCCTTTGATGTGTAAGTGCTTTCCTACCAGTTTGATCGGACCAGCACTCAATTGGTTTAAGAATTTGGCCAAAGGCTCAATCGATAGCTTCTAAGACATGTGTGACAAATTCATAAGCCAGTACTATGGGAACAAGCGCCCAGCCAAAGGTGTCTCAAGCCTGTTTATAATAAAACAGCATAAAGATGAGCGACTCCAAGCTTTCCTCACCAGGTTCAACCTCGTCAAGAGTATGGTAATGGGATGTCATCCATCCATAGCAGTCCAGGTGTTCAAGCTAGCAATGAATCGAGGGACACCGTTCCACGCCAATTTGGTGGTGAATACGTCGAAGATAATGGATGAGTTGAATGAGAGAGCTGATGGTTTCGTGCGATTGGAAGAAGAAGAAGCAGCTAATGCAAGGAAGACATCAATTATATCAACTAAGGAGAAGTTAAAAACCAAGATCCGACAAAAACAAGCTCCGCCACAACGTCAGACCACCTGGAAGGCAAAGAAGAAGCCCAGAGAAGAGGAGTTAGTCACTCCACTTAAAGTCACTCTCGCAAAGCTAAATTAGGAGAAAAAAGATAAGTTACGCTCCCCCTTACCAATTGGACAACCTCTCTAGCAGAGAGATCAATCTAAACATTGTGTTTTCTATAACGATTTTGGTTAACAGACTAACGAATGTAGGAACCTAAGGAGGCAAGTGGAGATGTTGATAGCAAGGGGAGAGTTTACATGATACATTTAAGGGCTGGCGGTGAAGCAGAACTGGCTGACAGAGCAGGTGAAGAGGAGCCAAAAACTGAGTTACCAGAACGTACAGCCCGTCTGGATAATAAATGTAATTCACAGCCGACCTGAGGCGACTGAGGAATTAGAAGAATTGCTCTAAACGCGCCTTCGTCAAGCGCAGATGAAGAGAATGATAGGCAGCGTGAATGCTCTACACCAACAGAGCGCATCGGTTCATATAAAATTTGCTAGAACAGACCTGCTAAGAGTACAGGTCCCACATGAAGATCCTCTGGTCATCAGCTTAACAGTGGCAGAATACTTGGTGCACAGAGTTCTGATCAATCCAGGGAGTAATGCGAACATCATGCCAAGAATTATGTTTGATCGGCTCGAGATCATGCCCGTCAAGCTCAAATCCACCAGAAATCCATTGCTGGGGTTCGATGGGAAGCGAGTAGAGCCCATTGGTATGGTAGAATTGTCAGTACAAGCTGCTAAAAGAGTTCTGACAGAGAGCTTTATAGTCATTGAGATCCATCTGTCTTACAATCTCTTGATGAAAAGAGGGTAGATCCACAGAGTTTAAGGTGTCCCATCAACTCTACACCAGGTGATGAGGTGTTTGAGCCAAGATGGGAGCAGGGTGATTAACATTCATGGGGATCAGGTTGCAGCCAAAGAATGCTACTCCGAGACAATAAAAGCTGCTGGAAAGAGAAAAGCTCCAGCCCGGTCTGATAACCCGAGATAGCAATTACAGAAACCTCCCCCCAAAGTGATCAGGGCAAAGGATGAGCCTGTGGTTTTTACCGAGGAGCCCCTCATCGATGTGCAGATAGATCCTCATAAGCCAGATAGAACAACAAGGGTAGGGTCAGGGCTTGCAGAGGAGGAGAAGCAACAGTTAATTGACTTCTTGTCTCAAAACGCAGATATTTTTGCTTGAAGCCATTCAGACATGCCAGGGATTAGTCCCTCCGTGTCTTGTCACTCCCTCAATGTGGACACGAACGCCAAGCCTGTGAGGCAAAAGTAGAGAAGGTTTACCCCAGAGCACAATCAAATCATAGATGATAAGATTGATCGATTGCTAGACATAGGGTTCATCAGAGAAGTTCAGTACCCAGTTTGGCTCTCAAATGTAGTTGTTGTGTAGAAGAAGAATGGGAAATGGAGAGTATGTATTGACTTCACCAATCTGAACAAAGCATGCCCAAAGGATAGCTTCCCATTGCTGAAGATTGATCAAATAGTGGATGCCACTATTGGATACGAATGGTTAACCTTCCTAGATGCTTACTCAGGCTACAATCAAATCCCTATGGACCCAAATGATGAAGAGAAAACTTCTTTTATCACCAGACGGGGAATTTACTGCTATAAAGTCATGCTATTCGGACTAAAGAACGCTAGAGCTACTTATCAAAGGTTGGTCAGCAAGATTTTCAAAAATCAGATGGGAAAGACTTTAGAAGCTTATATTGATGACATGGTGGTAAAGAGCAGGAGGGAGGACGATCACTTGGAGCATCTGCACGATGTGTTTGGCGTATTGAACAAGTGCTCATTCGGCGTGGGCTCAGGGCAGTTCCTAGGACACCGTGGTCAATTACAGAGGAATTGAGGTTAGCCCAACCCAGGCAGAAGCTCTGATAAAAAATGTAGAACCAAAAATAGTCAAAGAGGTGCAAGTACTCATAGGGTGGGTAGCAGCACTAAGTCGATTCATTTCTAAGTTGTCGGATCACTGTCAACCGTTCTTTGATACAATTAAAAGCCATAGAAGGTTGGCCTATGGGGATGAACAATGGTAGGCACTGACCAGCTTGAAGGAATATATGCAGAACCCTCCAGTCTTGTCTGCTTTTGATCCAGGTTAAAAGCTCTTTATGTATCTTGGTGTATCTAGTATTAGAACAAGTGTCGTTCTGGTGCGTTGTGCAGAGGGAAAGCAGTTCCCAATGTTCTACATCAGCAAAATGATGGTCGAGCCGGGGAAAAGGTATTCAAAGGCCGAACGAGTAATCTTATCATTGGTAAATGGAAAAAGGAAACTTAGGCAGTATTTTGAGTCCCATCTAATCGTCGTTATGACCACTTTTCCTATAAGGATGATCCTGCACAAGCCAGAACTGTCAGGAAGGATAACAAAGTAGGCTATAGAGTTGAGCTCTTTTGACATAACCTATAAACCCAGAACGACCATCAAAGGATAGACGGTGGCTGATTTCCTGTTGGAATGCGATGTAGAAGACATAGAAGAAGATCTTAGAAGTTCTTCATGGAAGCTCTTTGTAGATGGCTCTTTAAATCGAATGGGGTCAGGAATTAGGATCAAATTGCAAACGCCAGAGGGAACTCTGTTGAGTCAAGCGGCCAGACTTGAGTTCAGCACAACCAATAATGAGGCTGAATACGAAGCATTGCTGGCTGGATTAAAGCTGGCTAAAGAATTGAAGATCAAAAGTCTAGTTGCTTTTAGTGATTCACAGTTGATTATTTGGCAGGTGATTAGAGAGTATAAACCAAAGATGAGACAATAGAGGCATACCGTTCTGCAGTTCTGCGCGAAGTAAAAAATTTCAATCAGATCAAATTCATCCAATTGACGGGGGAGTACAATGAAGATGCTGATCGATTGGCTTGTAGTGTATCAAGTTATGAAGAAACATTGGCCAGGGTTATACCAGTTGATGTGTTGTCTTAGCCATCTATCTTTGAAGAACCGTCCAGTTCGGACCCTTGGCATGTAAATGTCATACCATACGAACCAAGTTAGATTGACCTAATCATGACTATCATACGGGATGATGTATTGCCCAAACAGAAAGATAAGGAAAGGAAAATCAGGTCAAACGCTATAAAGTATGCAATTATGCATAATTAGTTGTACAGGCAATCCTTCTCGGGTCCGTACTTGAAATATGTTACCCCCACAAAAGCTATACAGGTCTTGCGAACCATCCATGAGAGTGTATGTGGCAATCATTCAGTAGGAAGATCTCTAGCGCATAAGGCGATGACACAAGGCTACTTTTAGCCAAACATGTCGTGAGATGCAGAACAATTCTCTAGAAGATGCGATAAGTGCCAAAGGTTTAGACCATTAATCCACCAACCACCTAAAGACTTGCATGTAATGGCCAAACCATGGCCTTTCGTGCAATAGGGGATGGATATGGTTGGCCCTCTACCAACCGCGAGGTCACAGAACAAATATGTTCTACTAGTGACAGATTACTTTACCAAATGGGTGGAGGCAGAGCCGTATCCTAGTGTGACCCAAACTTAAGTAAGGCGCTTCATCTAGAGTAACATTATTTGTCGCTTTGGCGTACCAAGGTCGATCGTTATGGACAATGGAACTAATCTCGACAGCAAGCAAGTGAGGGAGTTGCTAGAAGAGTACGGAATCAATTAAAAGTTGGCAGCGGTCAGCCATCCACAGGCAAATGGTTAACCTGAGATCACGAACAGAACAATCTTTGTTTGTATCAAGAAGAAACTTGAAGATGAGAAAGGGAAATGGTTGGATGAGCTTTCGAACGACTTGTGGGCTTATAGAACAACCCCGAAATGACCGACCGAGGAAAGCCCATTCGCCATGGCGTAGAGGCAGTAATACCAATCGAGCACTTAGCTCCAAATGTTCAAAGTTTAGCGTGGAATCAAAAGCAGAATGATAGTATGTTAAAGTTTAACCTTGACCTACTAGAAGAGAAAAGAGATGCCACAGCAGTAAGGCTCGCATCTTATCAGCAGACACTCGTGAATAGCCACAACAAATGGGTAAAGCATAGAAATTTTGCACCTGGTGACCTGGTTCTGAAAAAGAAGCTGTGTCTTGTCAAAAAGGTGATGTCACCATGGGAAGGCCCATATAGAGTGGCAGAAGCCATAGGGAAAGGGGCATACGTGTTTGAAACTATGGCAGGAAGATTGGTCAGCAAACCGTGGAATGCCACGTCTCCGAATAGGTACTATCAGTAAAAGATTGAATCACATTGTAACCACTATTCATTCAGAGTTATGCTCTGATAGATGAATGGACTTTGCAAAGATATATAAAAGGAATTCAGTTTATTTTGAAAATTAAATTGAGCAAAGAACACTTTTCTTTTACAAAGAAAACACTTAGCCAAGTAAGTGGCAAATGGCACTAGAAGCTGAAAGCCAAACACTTGTACAAAGATAAAAAGTGGCAAGTGGTATTCTAGCCGAGCGCCAAACACTTAGCCAAGTAAGTGACAAATGGCACTAAAAGCCGAACGCCAAACACTTGCACAAAAATAAAAAGTAGCAAGTGGCATTCTAACCGAACGCCAAACACTTAGCCAAGTAAGTGACAAATGGCACTAAGAGCTAAACGCCAAACACTTGCACAAAAACAAAAAGTGAAAAGTGGCATTCGAGTCGAGCACCAAGCACTTAGCCAAGTAAGTGGAAAATGGCACTAAGAGCCGAACGCTAAACACTTACGCAAAGATAAAAATTGACAAGTGGCATTCTAGCCGAGCGCCAAGCACTTAGCCAAGTAAGTGACAAATGGCACTAAGAGCCGAATGCCAAACACTTACACAAGAACAAAAAGTGGCAAGTGGCATTCTAGCCGAGCGCCAAGCACTTAGCCAAGTAAGTGGCAAATGGCACAAAGAGCCGAACGCCAAACACTTGCACAAAGATAAAAAGTGGCAAGTCGCATTCTAGCCGAGTGCTAAGCACTTAGCCAAATAAATGGCAAATAACACTAAGAGCCAAACGCCAAACACTTGCACAAAAACAAAAAGTGGCGAGTGACATTCTAGCCGAGCGCCAATCACTTAGCCAAGTAAGTGGCAAATGGAACTAAGAGCCGAGCACCAAACACTTGTGCAAAAAAAAAAAAGTGGCAAGTGGCATTCTAGCCGAGCGCCAAGCACTTATGAAGTGAAAACCAAATAGAAAAATTAAACTGACAGCTCACTCAAGTGCAGATTGAAGAATGGGAGCTTTACAAAACAAAAATGTCATTCCATTCTATAATACCCCTAATTTCAAAATGATAGTCCTGGTATTTAATTTATTGTTTTAATTGAATTTTAAATTGTTTAAATTGTTTATTGGCGTGTTTATTTGCAATGATTGATGACTTGTTATTTAATGGTGATTTTGTGAACTAATTAATTATTAAATTGTTTTTATTTTTTGTTTTATGTTACATTGGAATTTTATTGTTTCCTTTAATTGAAGTAATTATTAAATGGCTTAATTAATTATTAAGTATGAAAATATCGTTAGGGTTTTACTTTTGTTTAGGTTTAATTTAAGTGATAAGCCGACGTAAATTTGGGTTGTCTATGGGTCGGCAAGGATTCAGATTCGGGTTTGAAGTAAAATTTGGTTTCTTGTAAAAACCTATAAATGTAAGTATTACGTTCAGTTTAGGGTTTTGGAACCCTATTCACGACGTAAAGAGAACAGAGAGAAGTATGGAGGAGTTTGGGAGAGAACAGAGAAGGAAAACCAAAGGACCACCGGGAAAGCTTAGGAGAAACACGCTGAGATTTTTGAACCGAGTCTCACAGGCAAGTT